TCGGTAGAGCTCAGCTTGCTAAGCATCAAATTGTTCACTGCTGGGGAATTCCCATGGTAAAGGTAGCAATCGTGAAAGAAAGGCAAGCATACAGCTTAAAGTTAGAAGCACTCCTCTGACTTCTACTAGAAAAATGGAGAAGCGTCTTCCCTATCCTCAAAGGCCACATGCCCTTTGGTTAATAGGATGCCTCTTTGCACTTAAGAATACTTATACAGCAACTTGGAAACAAATATAAACAACTATAGTATAAAGAGGGTAATGACATTTGTTTCTCCTGTGTTTAGTCTATTTTTCCTATTTAGATCCAAAATCCCTCCAAGAGCAGAGACCATGTCTTTCCCATTAGGCTAGGAAATCCATGAAAGTATGAAACTCAACTTTTTAAAAGTATATTTTAGATAGCTTCAAGAAAACAATATCATTAGTTCTATTTCACAGATAAACAAAATGAGGTAAAGTTTACCTCTATGCCCTGTTGGCAAATAGCGGTAGAACAGAGCCAAAACTAGAACCCAGGATATCTTGATTTCTCATCCCCAGATCCTTTCCACCAGACCAGTGATTCTCAAATGTTTTCATCTTAGGACCCTTTAATACTCCAAAAATTATTGAGCAATCCTCTTCCCTAATCCCCCCACCAAAGAATTTTTGTTTCCATGAGTTATGTCTATTGATATTTACCATATTTGAAATTAAAACACCTCAGGATTATTATGAAAATAGTTTTGACCTTGTGGACTTTTGAATCCTGAATCATACTTGGAGAACTGCTGCCTAGGCCCATTCTGCTTCCCTAGACCAGGTGCTCTCTGAGGATCGGCAATATCTATTTTGCTTTCTTTGTATCTCCCTAGGTGCTGTGCAGTGGGAATGTGGCAGGCACTCAGTGAAAGTTTCATCACACAGACAGGATGTTAGCCCAGAGGAAGCAGGAAAGAGGGAAATTTACCCGAAGTACCAGCTTCATGGAGATGAGGCTATCCAGGCCTGAGCAGTCCAGCTGAAATCGCTGCTCAATGGTCATGTCTGCGTAGGTGAGGATCTGGCTCAAGGGAAGCTCCAGAATGCCCAGGGCACATTCTTGGTCATCATCAATCACCTGGAGGAAACAGTGGTCAGAACAAAGCAACCCTCAGTGGCTCCCTAAACTAAGTCTGTCATCTCCCATTGACCCAACACAGAACAACAACAACAGATGGGGATTAACATCTTGACCCTTCTAAGAATACTGTCAGAAAACGTGACATTGATAGAATCTTGGTTTTGTTCCATAAGAGTCTAAGCAGAAACCCAAACAAACCTTCAGATATAACTGTTCTGTGGCCACGCTGTAAACAAAGAACGTGAAGGCCTGACTCCAAACGGGATCCTTGCTGTTGGCACATGTCTGTGAACAAAGAAAACCTAATCAAGCCAACTCTCCATCACTCAGATGTTTAGCTATCCTTTTCCAGATTATCCAGGATCAGATGCACAACTACTCTTGAAACTATTATAGGTTTCAGACACAAAATTTCCTGGGTGAAGTGGGAAGGGAGATACCCTGCCAGCAGCATCCCTCTGACCTGTTCCTGCTCTCCACAACAGTCTGTCCTAAATGTGATCTTCAACCACTGATCTGGGAAACACACTTCTTGAAATCTATTGAGACGTTCCTTCTCAGCTTCTTCTACCACTGCAGGCAAACACTGGGGCAGACTGATTAATATGGGTCTTATTTCAAAAGTTTATAACCTATAAAACTGTGCATACCCTTTGATCTAGCAATACCACTGTTAGATCTACATCTCAAAGACATCCACAAAAAGGGAAAAGGCCCTATTCATACAAAAATATGTATAGCAGCTCTTGATGTGGCATCTTAGAATTGGAAATTGAAGGGATGCCCATAAACTGGGAAATGGACAAGCCATGGTATATGACTGTAATGAATATTACTGTGTTATAAGAAATGACAAGCAGGATGATTTCAGAAAAACCTGGAAGGATTTACATGAACTGACTGATGCATAGCAATGTGAACAGAGCCAGGAAAATGTTATACATAGTAACAGCAATATTGTTCAATGAAGAACTGTGAATAACTTAGCTATTCTCAGGAATACAATGATCCAAGACAATCCCAAAAGACTAATGATGAAGCTTACTATCCACCTCCAGAGAAAGTACTAATATTGTTTGACTGCAGATTAAAACATGTTATTTTTCACTTTCTTTAATTTTTTTCTTCTATTTGAGTCTTCTTGTACAAAATGACTAATACGGAAATGCTTTACATAATTACACATGTATAACCTATATCTGATTGTTTATCATTTCAGGTAGGAGGGAGGGAAGGTAGGAAGAGAGGGATAGAATTAGAACTCAGAGCTTTAAATAAAAATATTTTTTAAAATTAAAAAAATAAAGAAAAAGGAAAAAAAAGTCCTTCAAGCCACCTTGCAGTAAAGATGATTTTTTGCCACCTTTCTGTGGCAAAAAATTGTTTTCATGAAGACAGTTCATGCAGACAGTTCTCACATAGAAATAATCATGATTCTTAGGTGGCAGAATAGCATAAAATGATGGACTTCTCTCTCCTCTCCTTTCAGGCTCAGATAGAATTGCTATAGCACATTCCTACCTTACTTGTCTGAGTTGTCTGACCCACACACATCTCGACGTAGGCAGAGGGGTCTTTGTCCATTTTGTTCTGTGAATAAAAGAATCAAAAGGAACTCTTAAACACGTTGGTGGAGTTGGGAATTATTCCAACCATTCTGTATTTCAATTTGGAACTATTCAGGAGAAGTGACTAAATAGTCCATTCTGACAAATCCATTCTTAGGCAAAAACCATCCCACAGTAGTCAAAGACAAAACAAAGGTCTAAACAGTGGTAGGGAACCTGCAGCTTTGAGACCACATATGGCCCTTTAGGTCCTCAAGTGTGGCCCTTTGACTAAATCCAAACTTCTTTAAGTTGTGTGGTTTTGAGGCCGCAGGTTCCCCACCCCTAGGTATATAACAAAATATTCATAGCAACATT